AGTATGTCACCATACATTAGCTGTTGGAGAGTCGTTAAAAGCTTAAAAATGTGTATATATAAGTTTATGTTTGTTCTTTGGACTTTTTATCATCCTAGTAACTTATTTCTTTGTGATTTTGTGTATTACGATAACTGTGCATAGTACACAATGAATGGTCAGATACAGAAATGGTTATACTATACTACTTACATACATGAATAAATATACGCACATAACTTACTCGTACTTTCTATGATCATGTAGATTCTAAACTATTTTAAGTAACTCTTAAACTATGCCGACAGTTTCATCAGGCTGCAAGCGAAAAATCCCGAGTGTCATTGCATGCCAGTTGGGTGTGTGATCATTGAATTTACTCTACCTGTAAAATTCGTTTCATGATACAATCGAGAATTTCCCTGTCAGCCTTTTCGAGTTATGTGTGAAAACCGATATCTGATATTGCACAAACTCTACTATCAGTTTATACTAATGGAGGCATCAATGGTATTCATGTCGCTTTGCATCAAGGGATAACGACAATTAGTCACACGTTGTATGTTCCCTTTTGTCCATGCGGACTCGGATTACTCGAATGTGTTGTGAAGACTTTACGATCATACATCGGCATAAAAAGAGTTTCTGACCAGTTAATTATGTCTTTGTTGTCGTGATACGCATGTGACCTTTCTACAGTAACACCATTCCCCACGTGTCAAATTAAAAAAATACTGGAGATGCCGGGTATCGATCCCGGTACCTCTCGCATGCTAAGCGAGCGCTCTACCATTTGAGCTACACCCCCAACACTTGAATTACCTGTTCATAAATTTGGATATAAAGCATTTAAAAATGTTATCAATTATTTAAAGAGGCTATTTGGGATGCGCTATCAAACACAGGTTATTCGGGACGAGTGTCTGCTTATGATGACAAACTCCACCATTCCTAACCGAAAGGAGCCGACTCACCCAAAGAATTACCGACTGGAACGGTGCATTGAGAGAGGTGTGCGTTATTCATATATTATACAAGGTACTCAACATTTAAAGCTACACTTAAAGAGTAGACAGTTTTACTTGATGGGATGTTAGATTTAGTAATCACGACGATATTTAATGGCTTCACACCTGTGAACTCATAAGGTTGATGTGTTATTAACTCCTTTGTGGCTTTAAGACCTAGCGCATTGGACTTCTCGTCGGTGAAGGAATTTTGGATATGCGGGAATGTTCACGGTATAAGACTTTTAGAAGACGGCCGTAAAGCGGCTATTGTCACTATTATCTTCTCGATGCTTGCTGCCGGACCACTTTAACAGACTGTACATTCAAAACATAAAATTATATCGTCTTTGTCAACGGAAAGGGTGCTCACGCTTACTATGCAGATTTATCTATAGAGCGACATTGGTGAGGTAATAACTGACTATTGTTCCTGTTTTGGTTTTTTAACGGAAGACACGGATAGTACAATATCATCCATACCTCTCGTATCTCTTCTCAGCTATCAGTTAGTAATATTACAACATTCTTCTCTTCGATTTACTAGACAGTATTCAGTATAATTGAACCAAAATTTCCAAAACATATATTATTTCGAAGGCAACTGTACTATACATATTCGAGAATAAATAAATTATTGAACGAACTATAATTTTACATGGTAATAAGATATCAATAACGCAACATAAAGATGTGCTAAACGCAACTGGGCAAGCAACAATAGAACATATGACTTATTAACTGCTACGTATATAATAATAAATAACAAGTAAAGCTTTGGTCATCAATTCGGCCGCTTGGTATGACAAATATTTTAAATAGGATATTGATATATACTGTATTTGTTTACCATCCTCAAACACCTTGCGAAAATATCGTATCCAATTGAAAAGGATTATCCAGTTAGTTCAAAGTTCTTTGTGGATTTTGACGTTGATCGAACATGGAACCAAACAATTTGTCAAAAACATCAAATTCTACAGCCTGCCATTGGGATCGCGCCATCAATTAGGTTTAATTATGGTTATTAGTTCATACGCTATGTAGGTTTCATACAGAGTACAATACTCTAATAGTTGTACCCGGAATTATCTATACCGGTATGATCGATATAAACAGCGAGTGTATTATGAACATATTAATAATGCCAAGTATGTTCTTTAACCAATTGTAACCGTATAATCAGAACTGTTTGCTAATAACTTTATCTATTACTTGATTATTGACGTAAAACATTAAGCTCTAAACCGATAAAGGTACCATCCAATGATCAGTGACGGTAACTCTGATGATGAAATTGGGATTGTCGGTCAATCAGGGGGCCATCAAAATTAGTAATATATCATGGTGACATGGCTACAAAGAAGGTTAGCTTGATACGAGTCGACCGACTTGCACTGACTTTTACAGTCGAAACAAGTTGAGTTGCCCGTTATATAAAAGATTGCGGCAATACACACGTGTAACTAAAATTAGCGGAGCATAACACAATTATGTTGTTTCCACTATTGTCAGTATCGATATGAATAGCCATCTTGCAGGAAAAAGAATCACTGCCCCTTCCCCTAACCGGCTTATTTTAGCCAACATGCTTAAAATAAAATTTAAGTTCACTACGATAGATTTGTAATGGTCGCACCAAAATCTGTAACAAGTTAGACAAAGTGAACGTACGGTACTGTATATCAGTAATGTCAAAGAATACACTTTTTTCTTTCCACTCAACACTAGCTTCCACGCATCAGTTGCTCGGGCAGTGGATTACACATTCGGGACTAGTGATTGCGTGGGATATTCAGTCTCCTTAATTTTTAATTTGAATCGGTATCATTCAGAAATGCACGACGGTCATTAAATGTAGTGCAAAATAACAAAATTGGTTAGACCAAAAAAGCCATATCCTTAATAGGAGCAATTCAAACGTTAGTTGTCTTAAACTGTTCCCGCATGGAATGCAATAATTGCGGGTGAAATGAAAGAAAGAATAAGAATTCTTATAGTAATTACAGTGGGATCGACCAATTCCAATGCAAAATGATACGTTTGCAACCTCCAATTTAACTCGTAACTTCTACTTAAGTTAACAAACAAAAAGCTTACATTTGACACATATTTAATACTGTACAGAAATTATTAGGCAAATCTTCAAAGTTATCCGAGAAGCAAATGTTTATCTTGTTGCAATGTAATCCATATTAATATATTCAAAAACCGTTAGCTCGGATTACGTCGATAGACATAATTTAAAATTTTATTTAGTGCTTGTTTATCAAGTTTATGATGCATGCTGACCAACAATCCACAATATTATTGAAACAATTTGTTTTGAGTAATATACACTGTAATGGCTTTTCGGTAAACGATTAGTATAAACTTGAACTAGTCATTGTCAATAATTGAGAAAACCAGATTTGACCCTGTTCACGTCCCAACTTATCCGAGATAGTAGTTCAATTAAATATATGGCAGAGTGCAATTTCCCCTCTATTACTATTATTCAAATGACCTGGATTTCTTATAAATAAAATTTGACCAATTAGAAACATTTTTGAGTAATCTCGTATGCACCGCTTAAATGCACCGCAAATCCTATTTTCAATGGAAAGTATAGATTGCATGCGCTATTTGGAGATGGTCTTTTACGCTCGACTTTTGCGGAAAAAAAGTTTACGCATGACTACTAAAGTTTGGGCTTCGGATTGGAGAGACAATTATAGTCAACAACAACAAACAAGGCATTAATTAAAGGAGGAATCGGGTAAGATAAGTGGAAGCTTACTCAATTTAATAGAACAGCTGCCAAAGCATAAACAATTATGGAATAGCATTTTTAAACTTTAGCCACATTCTCGGTACAAATAGTAATAGTAATGGAATAATTCGAAACGGATTAAAAGGAATAAAAATTATGCGGAAAATTTTATTGCTTTGTAGTCAATGCATGACATAAATGTAAGTTGTAAAGTTTCCTAGGGTCAGATGGTCAAAACACCATTTGACTTGGTCCTGTTTACCGCAGGCTATGTCGTGAGTTCCCAATATCGAGTTTAAGTTTTAGCGGCTGCATATTCATCTTATTGTTCATTGTGGAACAATAATAGGCAAATATTTGTTATAGAATTTAAAAGAATGCAATAAAGATCAAAAGAACTTTTGTGAATTGACAGACTAACGCAACTTAACGAGCTTATAATGCTTTGAATAGCCACAATGACTTTGCAACACGAGGAAAGTACCAAATTAGCTTATAAAGTGAAATATAAAAAGCGCTAGTGTATCAATGCTATTGCCATCGATTGGGTATAAACATACATTTGTTAATAGCAAATCTTATTGACCGGGGAGAGTCTTTAAAGAAAGCTTACTTCACTTATAATAGTGAAAGTAAAACTTGTTGTTCCTCTGAACGTACATAAATGTGTATGAAGAGAAGCCTCCCGGAATCAAACCTTGTTGTAAGTATGCTTTTGGGAGTTGTTTATGGTTGTACTATCTATATCATGGCGTTTATCTAAACTAATCCGGTTTTTATGCAGTCGCTCGGACCAAATTTGTGTGTATTTCAATATGGGGCCTTACGTGTACTAATTCCCCAGACCAATTGCGTATAAATTAATAAATAAACCATCAATTGCTTACGTAACGCTGCTCACATGACAAAATTCGGGCGAAGTTTCTTTCCTCTTGTTTTTGTCGGCAGATCTCGACTTGAAGGACACACTCAATATGGTTTGCAAGAAGTGTAAGCCAGATCGTCTTTCTCTCGCTTTCAGTCGATAGTAAGTTATGTGTTTGGATAAAGAGAATAACATACGTTTGCTTAACAGGTGAGAAGAAGCTCGGCAAAGTCATATGTCCGGATAAGTGGAAAGAAGGCTCGAGGAATGTAGCCGGTACGGCATGTTTCAATCCTTTTATTCTTTGCCAAGCTGCTTCCATCTATAGTTGACATCTATAAATACTTTGCATAAGTTTGTATTGTTGTATGGCTACTTACTATTGTATGTGATGTCAATGTCTCTAGTTGGTACGGATAGACAACTGCGCGAAAATAAGCTATTATCTAAACCAGCAAAGAACAGGTAAGTCATTAAAGCTATTTGCTTGATTCTATGAGCAAGAGTTGCTGAACTTGGGATATTATTGCAATTTGGTAGATTCAAACCATACGAGAATAAATGCAAGATCTGTAAATCTCGAGTGCATCAAGAACATGCCCATTACTGTCAAGGTATGTAACAACAGCGATATAGTGTCGGAAGCAACGGAGGTGGTGAATTGCGTCATGACAATTAGGTTAATGCGTATGTGCTCTTTATTCTTGTTCTTAGGTTGTGCGTATAAACAGGGGATATGTGCGATGTGTGGAAAGCAGATTCTGGATGTCTCGATGTACAGACAAAGTGCAAAATGAAACACACCGTGATGTACATTCTCTTTCCATGTATCTTTCATAGCATTTCTACAGTTCCATTCACTTTGCAACTTGACAATAGAACGACTATTCGGTAACTGAAGGTCGGCAGTAGATCTGTACAATGATTACGGATTAGGAAGATGGGGGATTTTGTTTGAAGAGTCTAGCGATAGAATAATGAGCATTAATAGATGACATTGAAAATACATCCGAAACTAAATTAATAAAGCTTATAATGTAATATTCTAATAATTTATTTGTGGTGTTTCGAAAAATAACGTGTTGCATGATTCTTACCTTTGATTCCGCGGTACCATTTTGGGTGAGCGATATGTCATCGAGCATAATTATAAACTGATCTATGCATCTTAAACCTGTTTGCTCTCTCTCGCATTTTAAATCAGTATGTGGTACAAGGATACATCTTTTCTAGATTCACCTGATCTTTACCATATATTGAAACACTCACATGATGCGGAAATAAACAAAATATTTCATTCGTTCGTTCTTGCTGACATCACTATTGATGTTACCTATCATTTACCTATAAATACACCCATTCCTCAGCGCTGGCCATTACTGACCCCTCACCACTTTTCATCGGTAGAGAGAACTTTACCAAGTGAATATCAGATTAAGTATTCTCTGGCGAATAACATTGTATTGCGGTTGGATCTTAGCATCATAGAGAGTGTGTGGAGTAGTAGAGTAAAGTGAGAGGCTTTAGAAGTAAGAACAAGACATACATGGTCAAGATGGCTCGTATGACGTTGTATAGCCTCGGTGAGTTGGATGAGCCAAAGGTGTATGAAAATGTATGTATATTGGTACATTAAGTTATGAACGAATTTATTAGTTACTCAAATTTCGCTTAGTCAAACTGACCGTAAATTTTATGAATCTAGGAAATGCATGAGGCATATATCTCGTATGATAATTTACTTAAAAGGGGTAATACGGAAGTTGATGTACAGAATGCTTTACTAGATAAGGTAAGTTGTGAACGGGATACAAATATTTCATTGGTGTGTACTTGAGAATGTCTGGAACAGAGTGTTACTTTTATGTGCCATAGGAAATTTGAAAAAGGGGGGGGTGTCAATAAGGAGAAAGTATTCGAACAAATGTAATACAAAAATGTCTGTTAGATAGTGTTAATAACATACTCTTGCTACAGTTCAAATCGTGAACAGCTAGAAGTTGAACAACGCACAAAAAAAAAATTTTCTTTTCAGTCAAATAACTGACTCACCAACAGAGGCACTTTTATTTGACTCCTACTAATATAATGCATTATCTAATATTGCTAATCAACAGAGGTCAGATGACAAAAAATACAAGGAAACAATGTATGGAATATTATTTGCGATACTGACTGGAAAAGATAGCACACCGGTAAGCATATCTTGATTTAATTTTTTGCATATCAAGGAAATAACCGCTTGGTAGCATTTAAATGACATCATACTGTTCAACAAACAGCATTTCAATCGCATGTGCGTATGTGTACGAGATCAATTCGGAGTAATTGTGGACAGACTGCGAGCGCTAATGGAAGCAACAGACTTTCACAGACTCCATCCACAAATTGTAATCAAAGTTAGTAACACGATTTTAGAGCCTTTTTATTATTCATTATGTTTATACTTACACAAATATTCTATTGGGCGTATAGATGCTACAATTAATCGAAAAACTGATTGAAATGGACGCAAAAGAAATAGACAAGTTGGTGGAAATAGCATTAAGACAAGCAGCAGGTACGACATAACTTATGTTGCAGATTTAACCCTAAATTACTGTTAAAAAATCGATCTGCCCCATGAATTCATTACTATTTATATTTTGTGCATCAGGAAGTAATACAACACCATCGAATATAGAATATTGCGACACACTATTAGGAATGTTGGAGAGAAATCGCATGTAAGATTTAAATATTATCAAGCATTCACGACTTTAATGCCGACATTTTACTAACATTTTTTGTATAAAGTAAATATTTATACAAGAGAGGAAAAATGCTAAGACTATCCTTGTATGCGTATCTCCGATTGATACGAGACCATCTCGATATAAGTTTTGATGACTTGCGTCAGCGAGAAATCGACTTTTGCATCAGACTCATGAGAGATCAGGTAAATACGATAGGTGGAATGGTTGCGCCGTCGTTAAATTTTTGAGCATAACTGAACTGATATATGAATATTTTATTATAGTTTCGTCATTGTAAACAGATAGGAAGAGATCTTGTAAGATTGTTAATTGATGTGGCATCAATACCGGAATTCAGAGAATTTTGGAGAGATTTACTTTATAATCCACAAATACTGGACGAAGGGTTTGATGGTAAGGAATCATGTCAATTAGAACACAATTGGGTTCCAATACTAAGCCATACTCAACGATGAAATAAACAGGTTTAAAGACATTAGTACGAATACCTACACCATCGGTATATTTGACGAACCGAATCTCTCCCCACTTGGAAAGATTACTTAATGCTATCTTTAAACAAGTATGCAGCGATCGCTGTTTATAATTAAGCCTTATATTACCTGATACTTAAATATATTACATTACTTGTCATCACTAACTCTTATTCAATAATCATCAACAAGGACTCGTGTTCGGGTTATAGAAGACGTTGGCAATGGCTACGAGACAAATATTTTAGCAGACCAGGTTCACAATATCTCGCAGTAGACATTATTCGCTACATTGTCTGCGTCATTCATCCCACAAACGAAATGCTGCGATCTAATCTAGTCAAACGATACCAGATAATTGCAGAACTAATTACCATGACTTCGGACGAAATTATACGTCCAAGCGCTCTACTCGCATTATTCTACGACTGGTTATTCTGGAAATCGCAAGACAACATAATGAATATCGAACCGGCCATATTATTGATTATGGAAACGTTCGAAAATAGGAATTGGCAATTCTGTCAGATGCTGATTGAGTTTTTGAGATATGAAGCATATGGATTTTGTAAACCGTTGAGCGAGGATATCAAAAAAAGTGTGGATGCTGCTATGGAGACTGTGTTAACGCAGCGAGTAATATTGTAAGTGTATACTACATATTTGAGAATTGAGCTTGACATGTCGACTTTGAATACATTTACTGACGTGCATGTTTGATTGAAAGCGATCGAGGTTTAATAGATTTGGTGAACTCGCCACAAATAAATTGGGCGACGCGTTCTTATGTATCGGACTTGTGGGGAAGGTTCATAAAAAACTCTGTGCCGCTAGTGACTCAGATGTCACAACCAATAAATGCTACACCATCGTTTCCAATGCAAACAACACCGACACCGAATAATGCTATTGCCGCTTCCACTACGCCTGCCATTACCGCGGCCCCGACTACCACCGCCCCTTCGACTACCCCTTCGACTATTCCTTTGACTACCCCTTTAACTACCCCTTCGACTACCCCTTCGACTACTACCCCTTCGACTACCCCTCCGACTATCCCTTTGACTACCCCTTCTAGTACTCCTTCCACAGCCACAGCCACAACCAATACCCCTTCCAAGGCCACTTCCAATATTCCTTCTAGTACTCCTTCCAACACCCCTCCCAATCCCCTTCCCACTAACTCTCTTACGTCCAACTCTGCCACACCCGTTCTCACTAATAATACCACTACCCCCGCTTCTGCGTTACCTTCTACCCCCGCACCTGGTTCCACACCTGGTTCCACACCTAGTTCTGCGACTGGTTCTACAACTGGTCCCGCAACTGGTTCCAGATTCAATCTTACGCCAATGTTTGTTTCTTCCGCTCCCTCCTCTGCTGTGCCCATGGAGTTGGATGATGATTCACCAAAATCATACACTGATGCAACATCATCGGTAACAAAGTCGAGTAAAATTGTTAAAAAAATGAATAATGGCAAGATGTCACCGTCTTCGGTCAATTCGGTTGTTTCGGCGGAGAAAACGTCCAAGGATGCATCTTTATGGATATACGGAAAGAATCTGGAACAATTTAGAGATGCCACCTCTTTATCCGTACAAAAGAGTATACTTCCTATAATATTGGATACTTTTGAGAAACACATGGTGGTATGGTATTACTTTTATTAAATGACATTGATTTTATTTGTGCGTGAGTTCTTTGTGTCATGTCGTCAATTAATTTTAATATCTATATGTCTGCCTGTAGGACGATGCACCAAAAAAGATCTCCGGTTACATAGTCCCAGCAATAAGAGAATCAATGACAAAGTCAGATTTATTTACAGTAGTAATGGATAAGCTTTGGTCATTGGGCAGTGAATCGTCAAAGGGCAAGATGTTGGAACTGTTGAGATTGATTGGTGATGTGGATAATGGACATGCATTAGTTAGTTTCCAAGTGTTACTGTCTTGCTTGAGGTATAATTCATTTTATGGTGCTGCTTGTTTATTGGATACTTGTGTGTCATATTAATCTATTTACCGTTTTTCGTTTAATTTCAGAAAAGCACAGGAAGAGAGTAAAGATACCTTTTTTGATGCACCAAACCTCAAGGTTTATAAAGATCTCATAAATTGTCAACTAGAAATGAGTAATGGATACGAGGATCTGAAATTTGTAAAGAAGCAACGCGTTCACGAAAACTTAATAGTATGTATTCACAATGCCCACTCTTGTTCTTTTAACGACAAAAGTTAACCTCAGACTGTCTAATCGTTTTCCATCTAGTCTTTACACAAGTGCAATGTTGTACTGTTTCAACGTGCTGTCTTTGCGATAATGGAATATCTACGCGAATACTGTATGGGAGAAGTAACGTTCGTTCTCTTATTGGTGTCAAAAATCACACCGATATTGGTATGTTGTTTACTGAAAACTTTTATAATAAGAATGTAGAGTCTGATATTAACGTTATTTTGTCATTGGTTCATCAAACAGGCATATGAACTTCAGATCAAGTTGGCAAGAAATCAACATGTAATATTTGGTGAAAAATATGACGAAATATTAGGTATGATTACAGGTTATCGCACTGGTTTGACACTATTTTTTACACCAATTCACCAACATTGTTGCATGTTTCTGCCTATTTAAGTGTTTGCATTGGACTGGAATCCAATTGAACAATACGTTCTATTTCAATTGCTCAATGCGGAGGTTGGGGGTCGTGTGGATAGAGTTGAGAAGATGCTAACCACATCCTCAATACTAAGAGCACTTGATAGATCAGGTAATTATCAATATTGTTACTGTTCAATTAAAATAGAATTTATTTAACGAACGTTCTTTCACCACATTCATTCCATCAGAGAATCCGGAACCTTTAATTGGTTTGCTAGACATACTGCGAACTGTCCCACCTACTAGTTTAATAATATCTTCAATAATGTATTTGATCTCGAACACAAGCGACAGATTACAAAAGCAGTACAGTTTTGAGTTTGTCGCAACAGCATTCCAGCAGTGGCATCGTATCTCACCGGAGGCCACGAAGACAGCGCTGGCAAGCTATATGAGGGAGTTGAGTGAGGATGTCGGGGATAATAGTACTAAAGCCAAAGAGCATGCAGGAAATCTCTTGGATGTAATAATATTGTGGTACAATGATTCTAAGGCAGAAATTACTGGTGAGGATTTGTAAGACCATCTGAGTAATAATTTTTACACAATGTACGTTCTTTAACACTATAAACGTTTATGATTTGTTAGAAACTTTTTTAAAGAACAACGAGTTTTATGATTTCGTCAAGCATATAGCCCAACTTTTGGGTAAACAATTGCCTGCTGACTGGCTTGCGATAAATACCCCGGAAACAAACACGGAAGCAGAAGACGGTAAATAACTGTCTGGTGTCATTGGTGATGGTGACTACTAGTATGCACTGTTAGGAATTTATATAGTTGACAATTAATAAAAAGACTGCTACTCCGTGGTGTTCATACAGCATGTTAGTTACAATCATTGTCAATAGTCATTATCGTCACTAGGTTCTCACTAACAATCGTTATGAATTTCCAATCAATAGGCACATCACACGACGAGGATGAAGATGAAGAGGAGGAAGAAGAAGAGATAAAAACCAATCGTCGAAAACGTATTCGGCAGCAGACTATGAGGAGAAGAGAACAACCTCCGCGTAAGAAAAAATTCAATCAATCACTTAGAGAGGGAATAAATAATCACGTATCCAATGATGAGGAGGATGAGGAGGATGACGATAATAAAGATAGCAAAGATGCATCGGAAGATGAAGAGGCGGAAGAGGGAGAGAAGGAAGAGCAGGAAGAGCAAGAGAGGGAGGAGCGGGATGATGAGGGGTCGGAGGGGGAAGAAGAGGAAGCAGAGTCGGATGAAGAAGCAGAAAAACCAATGGCCAAGTACTCTAGAATATCTAGGAGGCGACCATTGAGGAATCACAAGTCTTCTCAACTGTCTTCAGTAGCATTGCAGAGAGCAAGTCGGTACCGAAAAGGTCATTGATTGTAATTGTTTATATTATGGTTTTAGTATAGATTGTTTGGCAAAATTTTGAATTTGGTTGTAAATAAATTAATTGGATAATAGATGTAGATAATGTTGTAGATATAATGCAATAAAATCAATGTCTTTTCAATGGAAATAAACAGGTTTATGTGGTGAATTCACATAAATTTGTCTTGGAAAAGAAACTGAAGATTTTAATTTCACTTCGAACTGTGACATAAGCATGCATTCAACCAGCATTAAGCTCACAACGCTTTTGGAAATTAGTGATTGTATGGTGAGGCACGTAGGCCCATGCCAGTGCACTAAGCCGAATACCGACTCTTAGACATTCGAAGGATTAGATGTACGGGTTCCATCGTTTTGCGTTAATAAGATAATAATTAATGAAAGATTATATTTTGTTGCTGGTCTGATTTGATGAAATATTCTCTAATCTTTTAATCTGAACGACATATTCATCTTATGTACACCCGGATCAATTAATAATGGATAAGATTTGTCGAGTTCGTTAATAAACTTTCAGCCTTGTGATGATCCGCTTCTTCACGGGCGAACTTACAAGTGTGTTGGCCGGAGGGATATTCTATTGTTGGCTGACATCATAGATTTTTATTCTAAACGTTTCTAGCAAATGGCTGGTGTTGGTGAAGTAAATAGAGCAGTCAAAAGATCAAAAGATCTAGCCAACTCTTTGGGCGTTAATGTAATTCATGCTATCCAATTATGCATACATGGTAATTTATCCCTTAATTATTACTAATCGTTTTATTACTATGATGCAGCTGATGCAGCCAAGATTGCACACTACCTGAATAGCTCATCAGCCTCATCAGAGTCGGTTTCTTTTTCCAGCACGAAATTGTTACTAGAAGGGTTACTAACTTGACTTGTTGCAACATTCAACATATCCAAGCGCTTGGAAAAGTTTATGTCCTGGCGCAAAGGATTATATGTCGTGGACTGCTTTAATATTAATAGTAAATTTAATAAAGCTTATGAGATATTATAATTATACAGTATATAGGCACATCTTTGCTTCTGATGGTAAGATAATAAACACCAAACTTGACTGTAATTCATAATACTATGTTATCGCGTAGCATATCAGTCATATCCTCTATCACCAAAATCATCGGTGAAGTCCGTGTTCATTTAATTACTTGTTGCAAGTTCATAAACGCTCTTTCATGCGGAGAGAAGTTGCTCGGGAACTGTTTAAGACTTTTACTGAGCCTATTTATTGAGAAGCTTCGATGCGTCGGATTTCCGACGTGGATAATCAATTATCAACTTTTTTAAATCACGTTCATTTCCAAAGAGTGATACGATTTCGGGGACTATCGAATAACGTTCGAAAAATGTTAATACGCAAGATTACGCGGATAGCAATAGCGAATAACGGAAAGGCGTCAATCAATCGACACAACCTAGACTCGCCCTTTTACCAAGCGATGGGATAATGACATGTCAACATACCAAATCAAAGTTAGTCTCCCCCCTTATTAATCATTGGCACACCCTTGTTTGGGAGGGTGTTAGCGCGCGCGCGCGTTGTTAATTAATTGATTAGGTCACTCGAAACATCTACCAGAGTAGGGGTGGTAGTACGAGCTAAGCTTGGTAACATTCTCCGGTTGGTGAAACGCCCTACGCGATAGATAGTACTAATATATCGCTCTCCCAAATATCCCAACCGTTAGCGTTAAGCTCGTACTTAATCTCGGTAATTTCCTTTACAAACCATGTATTAGTATATCCAAATCTTTAGTGTCACCAACACAGTTTAACACGAGTTCGGAATCACGAGTAACAATAAAACTTTACTCATTTAGATATTAATCTTTAGTGGTCCGTCCTCACTTTCCAACACCAATTTCGACAACTTTTCATAATTTAGCTTTGTCAAGAAAATACTTGGATCAAAAATTCTTTACTGTTTTACTTTTAATTTTTTTTTGTTTCAAGCAGTTCCTGAGCAAAAAAAAAAAGAGACCGAGTGGATCTCGGGTGCATCTGCGATGCGCAAGTGTGCTGTGTATCATTTGGTTGTTAAAACTCCCTATTCATATATCTCGATTTCACTATATATATACAAACAAAACAAAAACAAGAAGAAAAGAAATAGAAAAGCATAACTGCGTTAGAATCCTCGCAACTATTATAATAAGTAATACTATTACTGTCATCACCACCACCATCACCATCACCATCGCCGGCTACTACTTAATAACGATATGCTACGTTCTTTTACCATATCCATAAAAAATAAAAGAATAAAAACACTACCTCTCAATAAATTTTTTAGTTAAAGGAACCTTTTTTTTTGTTGCAAATTCCCCTTTCCCATTTCTAAAAAACAATGAAAATTTTTTTGTGTCTAGGCGGAAATAAGGAGAAAAAATATTGTTAAATCAAAAAAGAAAAAAAAAACCACAAGTCAATGACGTCAATGACTACTAAACACCGACAACCCTCCCTTCGCTTTATCTATAAATATAGTTCTCCAACAAGAATAATTTGTCGGATTGATAAAATGGGATATATATAATAAATTGGAGTTTCAATAGTAAAAAAAAAAAAAATACAAAAATGAGAAAAAGTGACGCCGATTTTACAAAATCCTTTTTTTTTTCTTCCAAAAATGAAAAAAAAAAGAACCACAAATTCTCGGCGTAAAGAAGAAACAAAAATTATTTCATACATACAACACATACACACACACGCACTACTCTCACTGAATTGCAAAAACACCACCATCAACGTCCCACTCTTCGTTCTCCTCTTCGATTTTGAACTGTTCCTCAACGAAAAAGTGCCTCTTTCCATTCCCTCCGGCAAAAATTCCCGCTCCCTTATCGCGCTGTTGCTTGCTCGCCATAAACGATGCCCACTTGTTCTTTGCTTGATCAATCTCCCCAACCGATAACGTATCCTCCGAGTCTGATTGTATTTTATTACTTTCCTCAGCACCGTTGAGCGTTCGCACTAATCTCACAAACGCTCGACGTTCTTCATCGGTAATGGCCCAGAGGCTATCGTCACCTTCGTCGTAGGGTTTTTTCCAGCCAAGTTGACGGAGGAAATCTTCCTCGCGCTCTAGAGAGGCGGATATTGGGAGCGAACTGGCGATATTTGGATCGGTGGTAGGCGGATGGGAGGGAATGGGTCTTGTGGTGCTTGGTTTCTGTTCTTTCTGATCTTTTTCTTGTTGCTCTTGTGGCGGTGTTGGAGTTTGTTTTTGGAGATCCTTAAGATCCATAACCCCTCCGTCTTCTTCGTCGTCTTCATCCTCCTCTTCATCTTCTTCCTCGTTCACTTCTTCAATTTGATCATAGTCCATACTCATGCTACCATTCTCTTTACGATCACTTGACAATCCTTCCTCGTACATTTTGAATAGACCCACCCTACCCATTTTTGCCGGATTACTCCATATCGAAGAATACTTTCCTCCGCTTCCAACAATACCGTTGCCTAATCCGTTCAACTTTCTAGTGGACAGGTTAAGCACGTTCATTTTAGTGGGAGACGTAGAAAGCCTCTTGATTCCATTCCCGGCAGCAGCAGACACTGCCCGCGGTCTAGTCGATTGCTGGATGGCAATTGGCCTCGTTGGTGTGGTCGTTGTGTTATTATTGTCCTTTGCCTGCATTCGGAGAGTTTGAGGCATGTTTCGTGAGGTTGAAAGAGTTGTATTGCTACGAAAGACAATCGTTGGAGACGTGGTTGCACCGCCTCCGACACTGTCCATGGAAAGGGACCGACTTGTCTTGCGTTTTGAACCTCGTTTTCCATCTAGCTTGATGGTGTCAACTTTGGGAACCAGGGATTTGAACCGTTCTAGATTTGGATCGATGGCTCGGTTGTAAGACATGTCATCCTCTGATGTTGGAGTCAAAGCGGTCGGTGAAAGAAGTTTTGATTTCGCATCTGAATTGGCTAGTGGTATAAAAAAAAGATTTGGCGGTGAGTACGAGGAAAATTGTATATGGTTGGATTGTCCGTGTTGTCCGGATTGCCATTCATATCATGCTTACCCCATATGTTTTCTACATTTTTGGGTGGCAAATCTACAGACAATGAAATCTTCCTTTTCGCAAGAGTTGGCTATATTAGACAAATTTACAAATTAGTACTCCATGTATACGCTATCGGTAAATCTTTCCCATTGCCAATTCACCACTTACAAAATTACGATCAAAGCTGCTCGGCGACGATGATATTGGAGCCGTAGCCTGTGAAGATGAGCGAGCGCGTCCATGTGTTGTTCTTGTAGCCGACTGTAAACAGTGTTGCGATACGTATTACTATATGCGAATAATTTTTCTTTTATCAGGATGAGTGCAAAAAAAAACAATACGTACCTCGTTGTCACCTAATGCGACCATAGACACCCGGCGAGATTTCGGGTAGTCTCGTGACTTTGTATGTGGAGGAGAGCGAGTTCTCTGAAAACCATTGCTCGTTTCTAAAAGATGAAAAGGAGTGGGTGAATTTGCAAGATAGAATAATGGTTTACAATCCCACATGGAATGGTTATCTACATTATAAATATCGTCTCTCGATTGATACGTATAATTGATTCATCATAGCTCACCTTTATTAGAAGATGCATCCCTTTTCCCTAAAATAGCCGACTTTCTATCTTCCTTTTTAGAATCATTAGTTGACGCATAAGCAGGACTCAAAACCGTCGATGCAGGCCCCGTCTTGTTGTTCAGATTAATCAACCAACTAGGCGCAAATATAAAAGATGAAGATGATGTCGTTGCACGTCTCTGTCGATTCAATGGTTTTGGTGCTGGTGTGTGGGAAGGTATCGATTTAGAGTTGTTGGAGGATTTAGTGTTCGTTGATGGATTTGATGGCATTGTATATTGTAGCGTTGTATGTGGGGGCATTTGATTTTTGCAAAAAAAAAAAAAAAAAATAAAACTTTTTGTGTGTGTTTTTCCCTCTCTATTAATGATCGGTAAAAACTTTTTCTTTCGAGTAGGACGACTATGAATTGGGGGGGGGGTGGCGGTGTAGGAGATATTGTTATCGAGCAAAGGTGGAATTCGTTACTAGTGGGAAATCGCAAAAAATAACTCCGAGTGCAGGCTGGTCAAGAACACCGTAGGTAGGCGAACCAATAGACTTGGTATAATACGCCTACCGTATGTGCTTATGATAATACTGGGACTATGCTCTTGCTGTTGTCTCTCTCGATATATGTGTTTCTAATGGGTGCCCGATCTCTTTTCTCGTTTATAGAATGAGAATACAAGTCAAAGTGTCGAGCTTGCTATGCTTCTGCGACGTATGGTGATAGTATAGGCGATGTCGTTAATGCTATATGGTAGTTTCTAACCTAAGACTATTGTCGTAAGTGGCGGGCGGTTCGAGTGTGTATATGTGTGTATGTGTGTATGTGTTTATGTGTTTTTTGTAGACAGCAACCAGTACACTTTCAAATATGCGTTGGAGTAATGTAAAGTTTGAAGTTTTGAGGTTCTCGGTCCAAGTGTTGTGTATTGTTGTTTGCAAGTCGTAGCTATGTAATCTATATAGTGTATACAAGTGGTGTAAAGAGATTATGTGACAGTATTCGTAGAGGGAAAATGTGAGAGAGTAGTGTTGAGAGAGTTGTTTTAAAAAAGTGCCTTGTTATTAAGTCCAATAAATATGTAATGACTTGAACAGGAGACCCAGAGTTTTATATTGTAGAGTAAAAAACACTAACAATTAGCAAATATCAGGAGTTAAACGTGATGAGGGGGGTGGGGAAAGGGAGAAAGATGGGGATTGGGCTTTCTTTTTGATGTGAAAATTGATAAACTCGGTCGGTAACAAACAGTGAGGATAAAGATGGAGCGTCAGAGAAGAAAAAAAAAAAGGAAACAAATAATAAGCAAATAATGCTTTACAAAGGTGAGAAGTACATGTATTAATGTACATAAAAGTAATAGTATAAATAGTTTGTAATATGAATATATATTAGATGATACAATATTACAATATTTGTTTATTTATTTATTTTAATTTTATTTTATTTGACTGTTAATAAATATGTATGTGTAATACATTAACCTGCTATTTACAATCACAGGTCACGCGGACAGAATTTGCTGCGTGATGTACTGATTACAGGACAATATCGAGATCTCAATGACAAATATTTAGAATACATTTATAGATCTTAATGGTGATCATCAGAATACGTATAATCGTATGATTATGAATCCCCCCTCTCCCCCTCCCCCTCTCCCCCCTCACCCCACCAACTCGAATCCCCCAGTTTGTGTTTACCCTAGTTGTGATTATCACACTCCTCTTGGTTACCTTTTTGGAGAGTTATTTAGTGCACAAACTGTTGAAAAAGAACACTGCATGGAACATTCGTAACAATCAATCCCATATATAATGCATTCATTATTAGTCATCTGGCACATTACGTTGTTGTTTTGATTTCTGATTTTCTCCAACTTGTCACATTTGCATACCAGGCAGCGCATCTACGCACATACCGCAGACAACGAGTCAAAAAATGACCACCCATCACACACAATTAAATCACGCAATAATGCCACTTTGAAACGGGGGTTTAGGTAAAGGGGCAGGTGGGCAGGTGGGCAGGTGAGCAGGTGGCGTAGTCGTAGTGGAAGGTGGGGAAAGGTGGGGGCCAAGTCAATGCAATGCGTCCAAAAGGGGGAAAGGTAAACTATCAGTTAGTTCTGCGTGACTAGCCATGTGATAATTCTCATATAGGAAATAAGATAAACGTCCCATTTTTAAATGTATTAAACTTTAAGGTATACAACAATGCCCCACAAAGGGAAAATCACAAATCAAATAATTAAATGGATAATAATAACAACAACAAAACAACAACGTTGGTAGGCAATCAATTTCTAAAGCGACTAGCTTCTACACACTCGTATAATGACTATTTCTTTCTTGTCTACTTTGTTGGCCTCCATCTGGGAAAAAATCTCATCCCCCTTTTCCCCGAGTCAAACACCCTCCGTGCTACCAAAAATGGTTACTCGCCTCAGCACCCGACGACGAAGAAATCTCGAGCACTCGTTCTCCTGTCTATTTGTTCCCACCTCGTCTCGTGTGACTCAATCTTCTACGGCAATTAAAGTTTGCGTGAATTTTTAAAGCGAAAAACCAGTAAAATGACCACAAACACATTTTGGATACCCGGCAATTGTACTACCCATATAACGTAATTGCTATATTTGTTTTCTGACTAAAAATATACATATTAATATGAGACTATTTACGCCAGAAACAAGAATTTTATAAAAGCATTGTTAGTGAACGACCACTTAATATGAATATGTGAAGAAGCAAAATTTTGCCTGACTGTTCAATTTATCTCGCAAGTAATAACTGCCAATCGCCTCAACTAATTCTTTCTGTGTTATCACACGATGACGGGTCGTGTGTATATCGACGACAGGTTTACACAAGTTTACGCGTATGTGTCATCATTCAAAGACGGATTCATAACGACTGACTTCATTATCTCGGAGGACAAGATACCAGCTAAACTAGCAATCCCGAAATAGACGAAAAAGAACAATGTTCAATATATATATACCAGGCTATAATTATTGTTTTCCGACCGATGGGTCACAATATCTGCATTGATGCAATAGTTTTTCGCGCCAATTAATTATGGTTTTGATTCTGGAATCTGGCTTTACTTTTTCCTTCTTCGATAATGCATTCCGTACGCTTAATTAATTCTTCATCAGACAGAGGATGCATCAATCACATCGACTTCGATCAGATTGACTTTGCCATTATTCGCGTCTCTAACAAAGTTCAAGCTTGCTCAGGACACGGTGGATAGAAGAGAATCTAACCAAGCACGATAATGCAGACATTATCATAGTGACGCCCATTGTCGCCATTCTCAACTGACCTTATCACCACTCTCACAGCCTAGATTTTTCAGCACAGCATTAATAGAAAGACAATTTTATCAACATCCGCGTTGACAATCTGTGCACGTACGGCTCTTGCTTTGTCCCATTCCCCTTTCAGTTCTCGTTGTATCCATTGATCAGGCCATTTTCAGCTTCATCTTGATATTTGTATAAGGCTTCACGTACAATACGTGGACACATTCCATATGATCTAAATATCATCTTTGCATTAACCGATTTTATTATTATATGAAATGGCGCGTATAAAAAGACTATATACAACGTGATGTTATTTGCTCATTCTCCACAGCCACTGCCAATTATTTCTTCCAAACGGGACAGAACAATAGCACCGCAACTTTAGATTATCTCATTACGGACTATATCTTCTTTGAATTCAGCTAGACAACACGATCATCAAGCACGACTTTCCTTCCTCACGATCAACTCTCCACACGCTCACGGAAGTTTTTTGCTGATCCTTTACCGGTCATTTTAATACTAAATAAGAAAGCTATGCACATATAGAACGTTAATACCAAGTTATGCTTGGCGTGCAGTCTACTGGTTGCAATTCGTGACCTGTTGGTTCACTAAACACGATGAAAAATTATGATGATAGTGGGAGATACCCGTAATTAGATTCTAAGCTAAAATTTGAATGTACAGTACGCATAACTTCATTTGGAAATCAATTGACTAACAATATTAAAATATCAAGAATAAATTTATGATTTAATTGGAGCCTCCTTACATTCCCATGCAGAAACCGAATCTGGAAGGGTACATTGATGCCATCGACTGTTTCGGATAACCTTATTTTGTTCAACACGTCTGAGCTCATTCTAAAGATTAAGTATAAATGCTATAACGATGTTCGTGCGATATCCAATGAACGTACGTATTTAGTTTATTTAAGAATACTTACCACAAAAATATATAGAAGTTTAAAGACCTCCATAAAATCTACCACATCAATGAAGTCGAATGGCGAAACTTTGTAAACATGTTATTTATAAGGCATAATAATTTACTTAACGTTAACCGGTCACCTGACAAATATTTCAAAGTTTACATTATAGAATAATTAAATGAATGACTTAGAGTGTAGTAAACATACTAGCGATGCTCTGAATTGTGTACGTGCATAACTGCTTCGCTTCTTCCGCGCTTTTGTCCAAATAATTTCGTAATAAAGGAACAAGACCAAATACAGCTTCTTTTAAAAGCTCCTCTGAATCTTCTTTCATGTGTCTTGAATCCACGTTTTCAGGTCCACTCAATACTTTCATAAAAATAATATCGACTTGGTAAATATCTTCTTCGCTTCTCTCATACAATCTAATTCCAATGAAATTTGTATTCTTCATATACCGATTGAATTGCTTTAAATAAGGGAACAACAATCCTCTCAACAATAAACGTACGTTCACTAATGTTCCTTTTTAATAGACGTTTCTTTGTCATGAAATGGCTAACCGAATCAAATACGAAATAGCAAGCATATTAATATTAGTAAAATTATAACGTCAAAATTTGTAACATACAAATCATAAAGAATAAATTCGTGATCTTTTGGTTGCTTCTGAGCTTAAGGGGTCACGATAGCTTTAACAAACTCTTCCTTTGCCGACTAAAATAAAGAATGTTACTAGATACAAAAAGAAATTAATGATAATGTTGTTACGAGCCAATTACGGATTATTATAGGAATCTTTACTGACGGTTGATTATCTTTTATTATCATTCCTTCATCGTTTACATTCATTTTTATATGATTTTGTAGATACGCCGGCTTCCTTAAAAAGCACCGACTTTTGAGGAGTAATTTGTACATTAGCATTAGGTCTTGGCGATGGAGTTCCGGTTGGGATTCATAACTGTCACACTCAGTAATCGTTCTTGATTTACTAATTCTAACTTGTTTTGTAACGTTGTCGTATCAGTAT